TGTGGAAAACAAACAAACAAACTTCTCTGAAGTTGCAAAGTTGGGGCAACGTTAAACTCTGCAAGTTCCACCATAAGGGTTCCTTCCATTCTGACAAGGTGTTGTGGGGGTAAAGTTCCTGAAAAGGTTCCCGCAGTGGGAACGAGGCTCCTGGCAGCATTAGACCGACTGTTTCCATCCCCAAAGCATCATGGGAACTTATCCTGACTGTAAGTTTTAGCACTCATACTTTCCTTGTGTCTGCAGTATCTGTACGCCTTCAACATCATCCCCATGAAGACCATGGACCCGTCAGAGCTGGTGAAGCAGCCTCAGGACACGACCGAAAACCCGTACAGACGCCCCAACAAAGACAAGACGGACGCTCACAAGACGGCGTTCAGCGGCGCAGAGGAGGAGGTAGGCTGTGTTTGTGTTAAACCAGCTGCTGGAGACGGAAACGTGATCGTACAGCCTCGTCGTGAGGATTCAACACCTACAGAAAACTGGACACCTGGATGATAATGTTTAGACTCAACGCTCTGAACCACAAAACCTGCTGGTGGGATTTTGTGTTCAAAAAGTTAACGCCATTTATCAGAGGCAGAAACTGTAAAAAACACAAAAAATCATCAGGTTTTCAGATTTCTGATGGTCCTCCAACTAAACATGATCACCTAGTGGAAAAACTGGGTTGAACTACTTTTAAATGCTCATTAGAGGTTTTAAACGTGCTGCCGTCTGTTCAGGAACCGGTCAACCAGTTCTTCTTCGACCTGAGCACGAAGCAGGGCGGAGCTTATCGAGGCCGCGGCAGGAAACGACCGTCGGACGGCGACAGACACCAACAGTGGCAACAGAAGCAGCCGCGCAAACACCGTGAGTCCAACCAGTCCGCAAAAAGAACGTTTTAACGTCGCGTTAAGATCACAGGTGGAGGCGGACGGACGGAGGTTTGTCTGGAGTTTAACCGATTCTGTAACGAAACAAAAGCCTCCACATGGGGGCGCCAGAGAGTTAAACTACAACCTCGTCTGTACATCCCAGGACTCACTGATGGTTTTAACCTGGTTTCTTAAAATATTAAAGTTAGCAGATGAGGTTATATTGTTAAAAAACAAACTAAAACGTGTCATAATCTGCATGTGAAGTCTGGAATGGTGACGTACGATGTCGCATCACAAAATCAGATTTATCTCATTATTTTTACTTATATTTTGACCTTAAAAGTAGAAATTCTGACGGATTTGTGTGAATTAAAAGTAAAAAAGGAGTTTTTGTCTCATTAGAAACTTTAATTTTGACTCCTTCCTAAATTGTTTAATCAACAAATTCAGCGTCGGTTAGCCTCAGCTAGCCGTCTGCGTGCTAATTTGACAAAACGTAATTAAATATAATCTCAGACAGAATAACGACCTGCATTATAACGAGTTTTTTATGTTTTGTGTCATGTTATTGGTTCCCTTATCAACCTAAATGTTGGCGTTATGATGGTTCTAACTGCTGAAGCTCATATAAACGCTGTACGTTGGTACCAAATGGTCAATTATTAGCATGTTCTGTGTTGTGTATTAAATCTTTTTGTGTTGTTGTCGCGCTGCAGCTCAGCCGTCTGGTCCCTGCTGGTTCTGTCTGGCCAGTCCTCAGGTGGAGAAACACCTGGTCATCAGCATAGGAAGTCACGTGAGTTCATGCCACCAGTTACACACCAGTTACACACCAGTTACACACCAGTTACACACCAGTTTCACCACTTCGTCTTCTACAAACTCTAAGTCGAGACGTTTCCTCCACCAGTGCTACCTGGCTCTGGCTAAAGGCGGACTGACGCCCCACCACGTCCTCATCCTGCCCATCGGCCACTACCAGTCGGTGGTGGACCTGAGCTCGGAGGTGGTCGAGGAGATGGAGAAGTACAAGTCGGCGCTGAGGAGCTTCTACAAGAGCAAAGGCGAACGCTGCATCCTGTTCGAGAGGAACTACAGGAGTCAGCATCTGCAGCTGCAGGTACGAGTTCATAAAACATAAACACAAACCAGAACGCTGCTGAACGTCGCTTAAAGGAGTTTCTCAGACAACTGAAGCAAATGAAGACGTAAAGACTTTGATTTAAAGGAGTTTTTCATCATAAGTATCACAACCTCACATGTTTAATTTGAGTAAGAGTCTCATAGTTCCGCACAGTGAATTTTTCATTCTTTTTCGTTGGTAAATATGTTTTTTATTTTGGCGTCTGTCACAATTATTGACCTACAAACAGAATCTAAATGACTTATTTCATCATTTTTGACTCATCGAGATCATTTCTCACCTCCTGCTTCATTATTTTGCATTAAAGGTAAATTTTTTAACTTAAATTTTAAAGATTTGTTTTAGTTTCTCATGAATTAAACTTTAAATAGTTAGATTTTCTCAAACTATTTTTGTTTTCTGATTCATTATTTTGACCCAAAAAAGAACCAATTTGGACTTAATGTGTGGTTTTTGTGACTTTAAACATAAAAACAAGATTTAATTTAGACAATAAATCATAAATAAAATCAGAATTATTGACCAATTAAGGCAATTTAATTTACTTTTTTAATCATTTTAATGAATTAAAACTAAAATGTTGACGTATCAGAAAATGTTTAATTTGACGTCATAAACATTAACCTACAAAGAAAATTTAACTTTAATTAAAATTTTAACTTATTTGATCATTTAAACTCTAAGAATTAATGTCTCACTGTTTTATAATTGTTTAAATTATTGTCTAGAAATTGACTTTAAAATGTAATATTTTTAGGTGGAATCTCACAATTGTCACTTTCACAAGTAAAAATTAAAAACTTGTGACTCAGCTTCATGATTTCAAGTCATTTTTTTTATATGAGACACATTTGGTTTTTTTAGTAAGTTGTTTTTTTTTTACAAGCTGTTAAATTCTAACTACTTCCCTCTAAAACACACTGACTGCTGTTGAAACCACATAAACCTGAGATTCACGTCCTCTCCGGGTTTTTAATCATTAGCTTGGTTCTGATCACTCACCGGCGGTTCTGAAGGTTTACTGTTCTCGTTCTCCAGGTGGTGCCGGTGCCGCTGGACCGCTGCACCACCGACGACATCAAGGAGGCGTTCGTGGTCCAGGCCCAGGAGCAGCAGATGGAGCTGATGGAGATCCCCGAACACACCGACCTCAAACAGGTTAATAAAACCGTCAGCGTGCCGACCGGCTGCGTGATCAACGGTAAATATTAAAGCTTCCATGTTCTCCTCAGATCGCTCCTCCCGGGACGCCGTACTTCTACGTGGAGCTGGACTCGGGGGAGAAACTCTTCTACCGCATCCAGAAACATTTTCCTCTGCAGTTTGGACGGTGAGCATCGGTCAGAACTGGACAGGATTCATTTAAACCAACAAAATAAGATTAAATACCAGAAACATAAAGTAGATGTGAATAAAACTGAAAAAAATAAGGTTATTAAAGATGCTTGCTATGATTAATTTAATGGTTTTTATTTACATTTTACATTCGTTTTTAGTTAAGACTCGATTATTTTAACTGAGAAAGCTGCGAAAACTTAGATTATTACTTTTACTCACTTTATTTTGTGGTGTGTTAGTTTATTTATTGTGTGTTCAGTATGTGACTGTTTTCTCAAACACTAAAATATACTCGAAAAATATATATTTACTTTAAGACAAAGAACCTCATGACAAAGTGAATTTTACCTCATTAAGACTAATTCTGATTGATTTTCTTATAATTGTGGGTTTCAAAATGTAAAATATTGGTTTCAATATAAAAAAAAAAAAAGTGACTTACCTTAAAATGTGTATTACAGGATCAACGTGTGACTCTATTTCTTATTTAATATGTAATTTATGACTGTTTATTTTAAACCAATAAGTCATTTTTAAAAATTACCTTTTTTAAATGATCAAATGTTGTATTTATTTAAATATCTCATAACTTTCCCTTTAACAAAAACATTTTGACTTTCAGATTTCACAGCTACATACTTCTGTTGATACCAGCTCACTACAATAATTTTGAGTTTTCATTTAGTTACTTAAATGTTATTTTTAATTTCTTATGATTTCAAGAAAAAGTTAAATTTTTACTTTCTTGCAATTCTCACTTTTAATTTAATGTTTAAGTTTACATCAGAATCTACGACTTCCTGTTTCATCGTTTTGACTAAAAACATTTTCCACCTACTTTAAACTAATTGTGTTAATCTCTCATAATTTGTTTTCTGAAGTGAACATTTTTACATTTTCAACCATAAAGTTTAGACTTCTTTAGACATCTTTGTGACCTAAAGTGTAAAAACATAATTTGTCGTCTCACTGTTGGTGTCGGTTGTTGACCTACAATAACAATCAGATTGACGTACTCGTTATGTTTAAGTGAATCTCTGTGAACGGCGTCTTGTGTTCAGGGAGGTTCTGGCCAGCGAGGCGCTGCTCAACATCCCGACTCGGGCCGACTGGAAGGAGTGCAAACAGACCAGAGAGGAGGAGGAAGAAAGCTGCAAGCAGCTGAGAGACGACTTCCAGCCGTTCGACTTCGCCTGGGAGGACTAGAGCGCACACGAGTCTGTGCAGCCGTCTACGGGGACCGTGTTGGCTACGAGGACCTCAGACCTCATGTCCCAGAAGGTCCAGAACCCAACATGGTCTCCATGAAGAGACGTTTACAGCCTCAGCCTGGAGCATCGTCTGTTTGTTTCTGCTCTCAGAGGAATACTTTGACATTATCCATCGATCAGGATCACCCTCACATGTAGAAGCAAAGCTATAGCTAACAGCTGGTTAGCTTAGCATAGCACAAACCCAAACCAGTTAGCTGCTGAGTTGAGATTTTGTTTCCTTTCGATGGAGCTAAGCTAACAGTTCCCCCCAGTTTCTAGCCTTTATGCTAAGCTAACCAGCTGCTAACTCCAGCACAGGCTTGAAGCTGGAATCAATCCTGTTACTTACATCAGCAAGAATATTAACTTCCCAAAGTGTCAAAGTATTCCTTCACATCAGGGTTTAGTGTTTTATAAACCTTTTTTTTTTTTAATAAACAGTTGATGCTGGTAAAAAATAATGTTTTATAAAAAGAGAAAAGTCTCCCATTAAAGTTTAGTAGATTTTTTTTTTGATGCAGAATTTAATTTCAGAGTCTTCATCTGTTAAAGTGAAGATAAAATTCTCAAACCCTCTCAGTTTGTTTTTGTTTTTCAGGCTCAAACATCAGTAATCACAAGCTGACAAACCGTAAAACCACAACCAGCAGATCATGAGTCTTTGACGTCGTTTCTATCGAGGCCTTTTTGTTTCTGGGTGAAAAAGTTTTTAAAAGTATTTCTTGTATTTTGTAAATGAGCAACAATTAAACTCTTATTTTCGATTTCTGGCGTCATGTTTCATTATTACCATGTAAGTTCAATAACTTCTATAAACATCATTGTAGTTTACATTTATCTAGTTGGCACTTCATCAGTTAAGATTTACTTTTGCTTGTATTAAACTTTCAGGTTCTGATCCGACTCGTTGAACATGTCTAACTTTTACACACTTAACTTTCTCAATAGCGCTTCATATATTTAGAGAAGGATGTTTTTCTGTAATACGATCCAGTGTTTTGCTAAATATTTCTTGTTTTTACATCAGATAGTTGGGATATGTTCATTTAAACCAAACTGGCTAAAAATAAAAACACACATTGAGTGTCAACTGCTGCATGAACACATCTGAATTTATCAATAAAGTTTATGCTTAAGACCCAATTTGTGATTGTAAGCAACACATACATACTTACATATATATATAAACACAAATTCAAAGAGAAATAGAACTACTTAAATCTTTGCTTTTTCATTGGGAAGATGGATTTGTAAAATAAAATAGAAATCAAGAATGATACCAGAAGAAAAATCAAAAACCTAATTGACCAAAAAAAGAATAAACTATGTAAGAATTTAATATAAATCAGAACTTTTTAGAAAATTGTGTCATTTACAGTTTAAAATAGGAATAAACCAAGTTGAACTAAAGAAGTTCTGCTGCAAACGTCCTCTGTGAAGTCAATATATTTGTCAATTTTTGTCCCTTTAATCATCTTTGACGGAGAAATCTGATAAAAATCTTTGTAAATCCAGCTTTTATGTCACATAAGACAAATCAGGCCACTAATCTGTTCACAAATCTACAAACATTAACATTTAAAACAGACTTACAGAAACAATATAATTTTTAAAGTGTATTTCAGTTAAAGGGGGAAACTTGTGAAGCAAACTTTTGGACAAACTACAACTTAGAAATGTTTAAAAGTGAAGTCATAAATCACTTGATATCCCGGATTAATTATATTTAGAGGTATTATTTTGTTAAGTGTGAGAATGAACATGTTTATGAATGTATTTACTGTCGCTGCACAAACTGAAAAAAACGTGAAAATGTCATAAAAGCAATAACATGCATGTGTCCACGCGTATTAATTATCGTCCTCGTTTTAAATACAGATGCTCCTTTTAACACCAATCACTGTTTTATTAGTTCATTTATTTGGCATCTTAAAGACAAATCTGAACTGCATTCATCAAAATATTTGCATAAAACTCCACAGTTCTGCTTTTATATATATATTTATATAAAAAAAAAGAAAAAGGGGGAGAAAAAAAAAAAAGCTTCTAACATGCAGCCTCAAAATAAAACACGGGGGTCACAGTAACATCAGTTAGCCGCAGAAAGCCTGTTAGACGACAGCTCACAAACCTTTAGCGCAGTAAACAGAACCGAGGTTTATGTTATAGGAGAAACCACAGGGATAAAAACAGGACTGTCCACCAGGGGGCAGCAGAGTCGCACAGGGCTCCGCTGTCCCGCCGGTGACCAACCTGTGGTGTGATTCTGATTCATGATACCACAAACGCCTTGTTGTTCAGTTTACTCGGGGTTCAAATGTGATCTCCCTGCAGAGCGGGAAAGTTAAAGAGGCGTCGGCTTCCATGCGCTCACAGGTCGACGAGGCCATCCTGCACGGAGCCGACGGTCACTACCGATTAATCTGCTCTCAAGTCTAAAGCGGCAGCTTGTAAAAGTGGGGACACGTGAGTTAAAGACGGACGGCGGGTTTGTGTGTTTGTTGTGTCGCTTTACACAAAGTCCCTGGACCTCTTGATGGCGCAGCAGAGCATCATGCTGAAGATCATCCCGAAGATCTGCAGAGAGACGGAAACGTGGAGTTAATAGAAGAAACTGGATCA